TTAATATAAACCATTCCGTCTCCACATTTCTCTCAAATGTTCACACGACCGTCCTCCATTCCACTTCACGGGGATATGTTAGTGTAGGCGTCCTAGCTAGCAGATACTTATGAAGTGTTACTTTATCGACCTAGTGAAGTCGCAACATGGACAGTTTTCACCCCGTGTCTGTCGACTTGTGTGTGGAGAGTTTGAGCTCACAGTCTCGTGTTTTCATTCACTAGGCTGGAAGTAGCACGGACAGTTTGGCGATTAATAATTCACAGATAACAGAAGTGTGACCTGTGTTATAAAAACCCTCCCGCTTAACGTATTTGCCAGTAGCAGCCAATTTCCTGCAAAACATTTCGTTTGACGTTAACACTGTTATTAGGCTGGGAAACAAAGGGACCGTCTCAACCATCTCTAGTCTCTTTCACGGTCAATTACAAGCGATAAAAGAACATTTTAATTGATATAATACATTAATATTCCACGAAAAATGTCTTTCCTCTTTCCGCTGTGACATATCATGCACACAGTCTCCCGATAAGCATCCAATAACGGAAATGAAAGTTCATAGCAACGATGCCAAGGCTATCTAACGCGCACTCTATCGTAACGCTGTAAAATAAGCCCGCGAGAAGACAGGATGTGTCTTCCTTAGTTAACCTAGCCCCCTCTCCCCCGCCCTGAACGGCAGTCCCGGTGATTGAAGTTCCTGGGCACCCCTTTCTGCCACTTCATCTTTTCCCCATCCTAACACACATGAATGTCGGAAAAGCGCTTGATCTCAGAGAATCAAATTAATGCATCTGTAGAATGGCACAGCGATGGGCAGGGAACGGTCTGGCGGATCTCCTTCTAGGCTTCGCTATTGTTGATAATATTGACCAGCCTTCTGATAAGAGCCTTATTAAATATGACCCCGACATTTGTAACATAAGTCATTCTCTCAGCTCTCGCCCGCTGATACTGAAGTCAGGGGTCCCCCATTTGAATAGAATCCCGCAAATTAGCCCATTTTGGATGTTTCTGCCTCAGCAAAGACGCTTCCCATATGGCGAACCCTTTCCCCTGCGAGGACATCACTCTGATGTGTGAGTTCAGTCGGACAATTCGAGACATGCTCCGTATTTTACGTCACAAATTCGTGAATCATATCAGAGTTACCGTATATTATGAAAATAATTTCATTGTTTGAAGTTTGATAATTTCCTCGTATTATACACGTATATACGTTTGATCATACCAAAGTTACCGTATATTATGAAAATAGTTCAATTGTTTGAAGTTGATAATTTGCTCGCATTATACACGTATGTACGTTTAATCATACCAAAGTTACCGTATATTATGAAAATAATTCAATTGTTTGAAGTTGATAATTTGCTCGCATTATACACGTATGTACGTTTACTCATACCAAAGTTACCGTATATTATGAAAATAATTCAATCGTTTTAAAGTTTGATAATTTTCTCGTATCATGCGTGTATACACGTATAAGTTTAAAGTTGTCAGTTTTCCATCCGAGTGTACACATACGCTTTTGGATGATTTACGTTGACAGGTTTTGCCATGTACATTGAAAAGTGTAATAGTTTATGAGTAAAATGCCTTCTTGTTTCAAGTGGCTAATTTGCAACAAGGGACCGATTTGTCGACAACTCCGTGGGGGTGAGGTTGAGTCCCCGGGGGGTGGGGCAAATGTTGTGTCAGCAATCTCCTACCATGCTGGGAGTCAATTGATTTGTTGATAAGATCACACTCCTTGTGGTAACAAATCTGCTTGTTATACCATCCCCCGATTGTGTTGTATATATCACTATGCGATAGACCCCCATGCGCTCACCAGCCACCATTGTGCAATCCCTCCGTGGGGTCCCCCCAACTTTACACGTAATGTAATACCCCAGCCTGCTACTTACACTTCTTCACCTGTTTACGCTAATCACGACACGAGAACACTTAGTCAACAGATGGATACCAACAATTAGAGCGTTTAACTGACCCCCATCCCTTCGCTGACCACCCGGTCATCCCTAGGGGGGCGCGTTACTCAATTCTCCAACAATAGTGTCTTTGATTCCGTCACACTAGGAGTAAGGATTCTGCGATGCAAATCCGGTACCAACCTGGCCAATTTCGCCGAGTTAGATAAATTCTCTTTAAATGTATTATTTAGAGCCAATTTGTTTCCGACACTGTGTAAAACCATCGATAAACAACTGAGAATACTTAATTACATTACGTCGTTTAGCTGAGCGGGTCTATAATTAAAGTCAATGTGACACTTATCTGAAGCTGATCTCTCTTTCACTGTGATTTTGATTCTTATCATGTTAATTACTCGAAGATTTGAAACGATTTTAATTCAATTTAGTGTAGTTAGTTTATGCACAGGTGTTTCAGTTTTGATTTCAAAAGTTCCCTCTGGTAATTAAACGATTTTGCAAACAAATTGTGTACGCGTTCTTAGAAATCTAAACAAACAGTCGTGATCAGTGGATGGGAAACCCTTTTAGTCATCCCCGGATGTAAAGCATCATTAGGCGGTCAGACAGCGGACAAACCCGAGTTTTCACGCCGCTTTTCTTTCCACAAACAAATTAATAGGTGACTAAAAGCTTTAAACTCACGTTTCATTGGTCAGAGTAAATACGTCTATTTGATGTGAGGTTGAAACATATCTAAAATATTCTAAGCGTTCTGAAAGGTTTTTTCTAAATACAGATAATTTGAAAAAAAATCAAAATTCAATACACTCCAATAAAACAACGAAGCAGGTAATTACGGTTTTGTTCATTATGAATTCTTTGTACTCCATGTTAGAACTAGTACGCGTCTCTCGGTGCCAATAGTATCTATTGTTAACGTTCATAGTTTATGCTTTTTGAAAGGTGGAGCTTATTCCGTATTAAGCGCAACAAGAGGTCTGCGACGTATGAATGTTCAGGCAATTCTCCGGAGACTGACAACAACAATTAGGTGTAAACTAGGCTCCTGCAACACTCCACCTTGCAGCTTGTATATATATATTTGTTGATTAACCATTGTAATTAACAACCAGAGCCTGTCCCCCGAGGCTCGTGAACAGTTGTGAATTATTCAGTGTCTTGTTCCGTGAACGTTAAAGAGCGGTACTGTGTACACGAAATTCGAATGCAAATATGTGTAAGGAATCTTGCCATAAATATCTTCCTCTTAGATGCTTTTGGAAATGGCTCACACATGTAACAATGAAATTAAGATTGATACAAACGAAGTATTTTCAAACAATTTCATTACGTTTAAATCTTGATAAATAGTGTTGTAATGATGTACGATCTTAAGTGTTACGAAGTCTCCTCGTTATGAATACAATAACACTATACTAACCTACAAACTGAAAAGTTTAATGCATTGTTATTTATATTGCAAACCATAACATGAAAACAATGGAAAATATGATTTATATACATTCTTAAATTTCTAGAGAGTGAAAATATTTACTGTTATATTCTACCGTTAAATATGACGTAGTGTATTGGACGTGAAAGGGTGTGCTGATCGTGTTGACTCGTTGTTTGATGGGGGATGACAGCAACTACAAGGTGTACAACTTCCACGTGTAATCAAATCCGTCTAATGTGGAAATAACAAACTGTTAAGGGCTTTGGGGATTTGAATATGTGGAAAAAATAGCAACTTGTGTAGCGAATTCCCATGTGCCTTGGGACCGCTAAACGGTTGTCGGATGATGTTGAGTTGGTTAGGCAACAAGTCACACCGCGTTCCGTGTCTCACTGTTTACATTACCTACATGCCGCCGATATAGCATGTAGACATGCCATATGTACTAGCACGGCTATCCTTTGGCCATACATCATAATATGGAAAGTAAGCTAGGCCATATTGAGGGGTTTGACACACTATACCTTAATAGCATCAGCTTTGAAACGTGATTCTTTCCACGACCAACTCTCATTGCAAATCCTTGTAACATTTAAAAAACCTTTCAGTGTCGATGGGGCGGATTTATATCAAGCAGGATTGGTAGTTGAATTTGATGGCAATCACTAGCGGTAGGCTTGTGCTGATGGTCCCCGTAATGCGCAGATCAAAGCCGATTCGCTTCTTCATTAAATATTTACGATGATTTTTCATCAATTAATCATATCTCATCAAAATTGCGAACCCTTTGGCGCGTACCGACAAACACTGGACTACAATCGCTGCTCTAATGACAGAGTGGCTACCAGGATACATTATCCATCAATCCAATCCGAAACGCATGGCTACTCTCTTGTCGATGGCCGAGGAAAATTTATCTTGAAAAAACCCTCCGCCACGAGTTGATGTGTTTACGCTATGGGAGATAGTTACTTCGTTGATTACACGTTAACCCATATGATGGTTTCAACATGGTTTCATCACCGTGCCTCGCGCAGTGCAATACGATCCTTTATTAATCCTTCGTTAAGCCCCCATAAACCAAGACCAGCTTATGTCGTTTAGCATTTAAAATTGGATCACCTTTCAAATATGCAAAATTGCCACTTTTATTCCAGGGTGAGTTTAATCCAAGTAAACATTTGCACAATGTAAATCTCAAGTTTGGAGAGCAAAACCCCCTCATTTCCCATCCCCCGGACACCACTGCTGTGACGGCACGGCGTTGTCTGTCGGTATAATAGAACAGTGATCAATTTGCTTGTGTAGCTCTCAAGAGACAAGTTAGAATATTTTCCCAAACAAAACCATCCCCGGCAGTATATAGCTTCAGTCGCACCGTATCTCCTGCCACGGGGTGAATGGAGAAGGCTCTCATCTATCCGTTAGAAAATTTGACTTTTTGAGCCTTTTCTGATTCTTATTGGTATATATGTGGAAACTTATATGTCTTGAAAAAGGATATATGTTTCTTCGCGGGATGGCGTTCCTGTTAAGGGTAGGTTAATACATGGATGCACACATTGATATAATTTGATATACATACTGTCTGCGATCAAATAATTTGAATTTTTATTTAATTTCAGATTTTTCTTGAAGTTTTTCATGAAATGCAACCAGAACTGCTTAAAGAACGCTGGAAACCCACGCGACATGAGAAGATTCCAGGTAGGTCCAAAGATCTTGTTGCAAATTATAATTATGCATTTATTAATAAATGCATTTTAAAATTTGTGTTACTTTATTATGCCTATATCATTCCACTGTGTAGCCACGGCTACCGTTTTTTACTCAAGCAGCGACAGCAAGTGTGACTCTTTAGTGACGTAGTCATGGTAACGATCTTTATAGTGACATGAAATGACGTCAATATATCTTTGTTAGGAAACAATTAAAATGACATACCAACCATGACGTGTAGATGTTTTAGCTTTGCCTGACAGACTTAACGGTGACTAGTATGCGCGATACGCTATTCACATCTACTCTGTGCAAGCCTGTCTGTTGTCTATTTCAACAAGGGCTGGTAGACCAAATCAATATTTCAGTCACAATCCGCAAATGAAATTTACATTCTATTCCACAGATCTCAAGTTTGTTCGCGAGAACATTAGTTGTTGTTTGTAGTTATGCAGGGAACATTTGCGTGACGTCAGCAGTGAATAAACCATTACGTGATTGCTCTCTAAAACACGTAGATCCAAATGAAATCCGGGAAATACATTTGACAGTTTGATGAAATCAGAACCTTTCGTTTACACAATCCACATTGTTTGCAAGCATTAAGTAGAGGCATACGTAGCTGTAACATGACCAGCTTAAAAAAGGAAACCTGGTCGTTGGATGGACGTATAAAATATTCATTGTCTAGCGAGTACGCGGTAGTTTATAACTGTCAAACCAAGCATTGAGGGGCAATAGCTTCATTATAGCGCTTCGTGATTAACTCCCTTTATTACCGAAGGAAGGAAATGGCGCTTGGGAGGGTTATAGCCTTGTAATTTATATTTGTGCAACTTGTGTTGGGGACACGCTCGTAATTTTCCGATCATTGACAACACACAATAGTCGAGCGGGTTTGTTTGGCCGTGGTAACTGTTAACATCCCGATTCTAATGTAGCACCGGAGAAAAAGGAATTGGCTGAAACCAATTGGTTCGTGAGTCAAGGCGTCCATTTTTGTAAAGTTTATAAAGCAAGGCGTAATGTGCGAGGATCGATTATCTGAGGGAATCTGCTTTGCAATGATCATCCTTTCATTGTCAATTGAGTTCAGCCGATCTACAGCATGGAACAAATCCACAGTGTTTCAGATCTAGCCCCGTTTTAACAAACACTATCATCTTGTCAATCACTTGATGTTTACGGGGTTGTTGTAGAAATGAAAGTGCGGGGACCTAGGAGAGTGGTATTAAATGGGGGACTTGAACTACCGTAAAAAACTTCATTAACTAAAACACTTCGAAAATGAGGACAAGCCCAACTAGGCGAAGCTTGACTGAGCAGACTGAATCGGGATTTAAACATCTTGACGCGGCTTAAAACAACGCATCGGGCATTTAGGTCCGGGTCGATAGATGGAACTCCCACAACACGAAACAGCGCAAAACTTTAAAAATATTCTGCTTTTGTTCACAGTAATATGATTTGCTTCAACACGCAATTATGCGGAAATTTTGTAAACATTGTTTGAAAACCATTACAGGAATTAGTTTAATTTTGGTATGGTGAGCATTGAGCATTGAACATTTTGAAGCAAATCGGTTGTTAGTTCATGCTGATATAATTTCACTTTAAAACAGTGAAAACATTTTGATGACATCATTGTAACACCACTGTTTTAATTATTAGTTTTGTTATGAGTACAACTAGTACTATTATAAGTAGTAGTACTAGCAGTACATTTTAGAAGTAGCATCAGTGGTTGTAGCCGGAGGTGAATAGATAGTTGAACTTGTAACCTAAGAGTTAACATTCAAAACATTCGCCTATACCGCTGACAGTTGCAGCTGAAATTATAGACGGTATAAGACTGCGTAGTATCGTAAGAAGTAGAATTAGTTGTATCATTACTAGTATCCATGTTATTCGTAAACATATTAGTGCAACTGCTGAGATGCTATTGTCACCAAAACTACTGATACTACTTATATAAACATATGTTGTCATTACATGTCCCTACATGTGTTTATATTCATGAATTTCGTTTGCAGGTGTCTGTTTGTACAAATGTTGCGATAGATGGCCCTCTGTTAGCTGTGTCGGATAACATGTTCGTACACAATAACTCCAAACATGGACGGAGGGCTCGGCGCTTGGACCCGACTGAAGGGGGTAAGACGATAATATGTATACATAATTTCATTAACTGAATTACAAGGTTATTAAATTATACATAAAAATAAACAAAAATAAATTTTCACATATTAATAAAAAAATGTAATACATTTATTAACTTGTATGTAATAAATATGTATGAGAATACTAACTGACTTCAAATACTTAGAACATACACAAACAGAACACTGAAACTATGCATAACCATTTTAAAATGTGTGTTAGTATCGAAGTGATAGACGATAGAAATAGAAAATATTTGACTTTATTAACACGTTATAATACCTAAAAAATGAACGTTTTCATTTACATCGTCAAACATCACTTTATAGCAATAAATATAACATAACTCTCTATAATAAAAATATAACCATGCTTTTTAATTCTTAAACAAGTTCACAAACTCAGATTTATCGATGGAAAACCAATTAACATTAAACACTCTGTTCATGCTCAATTACTATGCATTTATCGAGCATTATGATACAAAAACTCCCGATAGATGTCATTCAAATTCCTATTAAGAAATCAAAATATAGTTCCGCAGCATAGGCTTACAAGCATGGCGGAAGAGGTGTTGACTAAAGGCTGATTGCTACTCCCACCTGACCAATTACAACCCCGGAAATCAATACGCCGCAACAAAGTAGTCCGGCACCTTGCACGGCTAATTTCCTTGGTATGGGGTATTACAGCAGGGAATCTAGATCCAATAAGCTAATGAGGTATTCGTAATCAGTCACCTGTTAGGGCTTGCTCTTCTGTCTACAAGTAGTCATACATATATTTAAATGGCGGCCAGTCAGACGGATCCATAACCTCCTCACCTATGCCACTGTTTCGTACAAAATATAGGAGTAGATTCTTCACCTCATTTGAAAAGGGATCGTTTGTGAGGAATATATCTGGATTATTTGACACGACGCTGGTTTATAATTGATTTTGATTGATATTGGCAATTCTCACCTTGCATACTAAGTATTTTATTATTCAACAAGATACTGCCCATACTAATGATAATGGCTTTATTTCACGTCTGGAAATACCGTTATTTCCACTTCAAGGCAAGAAAGTACAAAGAAGAGGGTTTTCCCTGTTGAAATTTGTTAACAATGCAACACAAAATAGAAATAAAGCTGATGGTAATCTTACTTTTCCATCTAAGAATATCGAACCGTGAAATCAGTTGCTTTGCATTTTGTCCCTCGATTTGAAATTAAAATCATTATTAGGAACTTAAAGCATTGATTATGGAAACTTAATTTATTCTTACGTCATTTTAAATAACATCTCCAGCGCTTGCGATGCATAAAGGGGCATTAATATCACTAAAACTTTAATTTATCATTATACCGTTGGGTGAGCAAAATGGGGTGAAAAATAATATCAAGAACCGTTAAGAAGTAGGGTCATCGCTCCATGGGCCTTTTCCAATCGTTTGAGGAACATTAAGGGATTTTATCTAACGTGCTACCGTATCGGAGGGAGTTAAAGGACTTAGCGCCGAACGTGCACATGATGTAACGGCGATGTGTAGTAGAATTTAAAGGGAATAATTTCATTTCGTCAGCAATTATTACTGCCCCGGAGATTCTTCTAGACGCGCTCATATTACAGTTTACAATTACAAGCGTATCGAAGATTACAGCTTTAATTAGAATGACAATAACACGTGATTCAGCAGTGGCTGGGCTCCAGCTGTCCAAAATCAGATTCTAGCGTCCCATCTGCTTCTGGTTTCTCGACGCATCTGGGGTCTGGGACGGTGACTACGCGGCGCTGACGCACGCGACATCAGACAGGGACCTTGGCACAAGGACTACGTTATTTAAGGGCAAGGGAAAACCAGGTAGCACGGACGAGAATCCATCTGATTGCATCCACACGCTTGGAAATCGAATTGACCAAAACGAGGCTAGTGGGGCTAACCTTTTTGGAATGGCGCAATCGATTATAATTGCATCGAGGTTTTTGACACAAAAATAATGCCTGACACTTATTGTTTAAAGAGCTTAGGGACTCTACCTTCTGTTCCTCCATATTTGAACCCTTTGTAGGGTATACTTACAAAAGGTCAAGGTCACTGCTCAGACGAGATTGACAGCAAACGACAAGTCTCATGGCCGGGAGATTGCCGGGAAATGTCGCATGCCCGTCTCAGACCCAGCCTCAGTCTCCCCTGTTCGACTGTGAAGAGCGGGGCTAAGTTTTCATTAAATTTGCAACTATCTAATTAGCCAGTCCGAGTTGGCCATCTGGCTGAGTATTTTCACCTTGTCCTTTACTTCCGACATTTTTTCTGGTAGTTCCTGTTATTTCAAATGTGCCTTGTTGTAGGGGAAAAAATGAAGTCTCTAAATGAATACCGTTTGTTAAGTTTCCAACTGACGCCTGGAAATTGGCGCAAATGAAAGTAAGATCAGAAGAAGTGCTTCGGCCGTGAGAGGAAACAGGTTACAACTGCCATGACGTCATTTGATTAACAAATTTTGTTAACAGTCGCCGACAACCATGTTTTTAAAATATATTATCGCGGTTGTATTTTTTCAAACACAATTAAAGTTCACTTATCACGAGTTGATTGATCTTGTGGCCCAGAAAACAAGTTCTGTTGCCTTTGGAAGGAAGACCCCCCTGCATGAAGAATATTTGCACTTATACGATTTTCAGGAAAACTGCTTTTGATTTCGAACCAAAGTCCCCGGAGATGCGCAGGTCTTTGTATTCTATTGTAACCACACTGCCACATTCCACTCCAATATAAACCGCGCTAACAACCAAATACCCCGGCATGGTGTCTTATAACAGTCTCGCACGGAATGTGAATCCCTTATTCACCAATAGAGATACTTCCCGTGTATTCTCTGCGGGCCCACTGTCGGTTTCTCCTGCGTGTGTGTACAAACAACCAATAGAATAACTCGTAGACCAAAAACATAAGCGTGCTTGTCTTCTCCCACGTCCGCGCGCTGAATCTACTTTGGTGTGATGAATGTTAGCGACATATTGAATTACGATTACATTTTCTGACTTATGTTTGGATTCATTCGCATGAAATTAATATGTCAGTATGAGCAAAATTGACAAAAGATTAGTAATTTGTCGCACGTGCACTTTACCCCCATCGGCGTTGCGTGCCTCTCTGCGTGGGGTCCGGAGGGACACAAAGTGGTGTTCGTTCTTTGATGGTTCATCCCAAAAGTCATTGCTGGAATTATTTCATACAAAGCCGCGTAGTCTCACAGTTATCAAAAGCTGTTTCATAATTGTTAGAGCTCGTTTGTCGCGTCAGTGTTTAAACCGATTCACACCATCTCCCTAAGTTGGTGGGTCACACGAGTGCGTAGGATTCCACGCGGATAAGTACACAATAAATGAATGAGTGTAAGAGGCAGACTGTCGACAACAATATTAATTACTCACATTAAGCATTACAACCGAAACATTACTACAAAACAATAATTGCTGTAGCAAATAAGTCCGATTACCGTTTCTTAAACAAAGGAAAAAAGAACAAAACAAATGAGATAGGTTATTAAACCAATAACTTCATTATTCCTAATGATAAAAGGGTATTTCTAATTAACCTGAAAATACTGAATGGTTTGAACAAATAGGGCTTCCATATGATACCATGTTTGATTGGTGTAGTGGCTTGTCTACAAGTTTAAGTAAATACCACTGAAAATAATTAACTGAAATAAATGTTTTGAATGCTTTATGTACGGCATGCTATCTTATGTTCGAATTGCGATAGATGTTTATTATTTAAGCACCGTGAAAGTATTTAACCATGTTGTATATTATGCACGAGTTATCTATATTTTTACATTTTTGCGGTTAAAAGCATTTTTAGTTTTGCAGTTGTAATGACACGTTTCTTTTGTTTTGCATATAGCATTGTTTGCCTTTAAATCATGTTTTTATACAGAAGTTTCAAATGATATAAAATTTTGTCAAACTGAATTTGAATTTGGCAATAATCGCAATATGTTGATTGGAACTTTTAATGCTAATTTTCATCTTTGAAACTTCTACAACAACCAAAATGGTTCAAGGAAGCATTAAAAAATTCAAAATGAAGGTTTCCTAAGAGAGTAAAACACCCTTTCGTTTCTTTGCTAACACGGATGTTCCTTGGACCATTAAAACACTTTGCACATGATTAAAAGACAGTAACGGTAAATGGTCAAATACTGACCTGTCCAATTTCTGTGCATTGACAGACATGTCCAGTGGCTATGGTCAAATTCCTCATGTATTTTGGGGCAAAGTGGAAGTTTCCTCCAGAAATGAACTTGGGCGTAAGTGAATTTAAATACTTAGAAGTACTCTTACATTTTACAGTAACAGTTATTAAGTCTAAACAACCCTCAAGCATGCCAGTAATTATGTGCAATAAGCTATTATTTTGTTCATTCACCTTTATCAACTTTCTGTATCTCAGCTTCATGTCTTTCTTCAAAATGTCTTGTCATGCATGCATTAAAGTGATATATTTCACCCTGCTCTGTTGTATATACTGTCCTTTCAAATGGGGTTTTGTTGTGAGAGCGTCTACACTGCGTACCCCTCTACCAGACTGCATTGTGTGCATGCAAATTTTGTAGAAAAATAATACCAAATAAAAAGAATATTAAAAAAGTCAATAAATATAAATATGTTTTTGATTTATTTTGGAAATCAGGAGTTCAATAATTTCACCTTTGTTTAAGATCATTCAATATGATTTGAAAATCCTGAAGTGGATTGGTAGTAGTATTTATCTATAGGTTTTCTTTTTCCAGCCACGCCGTGTATCAAGGCTATATGTCCGAGTGAGGGGTGGACAACAGGAGGGACGACAGTCATCATCATCGGTGACAACTTCTTCGACGGATTACAAGTCGTGTTTGGAACTATGCTTGTTTGGAGCGAGGTGATTACTTTTAATTCTACCATACTACATTATTCAGAGTCTGTTTGAAAAATGTGACCTCCTCTATGGTCTAGTGGATAGAGTTGCTGCACGGAGAACGGTATAGGTCGGTGGTTCCATACCATACCAAGGCATGTCATACCAAAATACGTTAAAATATGGTAATTGTTGTTACCCTGCCTTGTGTTCAGCATGAGAGAGTGAGAGAGAGGTGTGTGTGCACTCAGAGATGATGTGGTGTTGTCGTTGTGGTTGTGTCGAATCAACGACAGCATAAAGCCATTGCTGCACTCAACATGCAATAAACTGATGATACATTTACATAATTAGTATACAGGGGTGGAGACAACTTTCAAACACCAAGAACACTTAGATGCCATCGACTGTTATATATGGGATAGCGGTTGGGTAGCCTAGTGGTTAAAGCGATCGCTCGTCAGGCCGAAGATCCAGGTTCAAATCTCCACATGGGTACAATGTGTGAAGTCCATTTCTGATGTCTCCTGTCGTGATATTGCAGGAATATTTCTAAAAGCGGCGTAAAACTATACTCACACCACTGACGTGCATTTATCTCACACTGAATACATACATCTGTTGTTGGGAACCTCTATTTACACAGTGAGAATATACCACTTTACAGTTGGTTTAATGACACATAACATTATTGATCTACATCGTTGTCCTATTGTCACTGTACCACACCCAAGGAAAGTTGTCGCCGACGAGGACGTTTTCAGTTTCTCCACCATCTTGTGTAGAGAGCTTGCTTATGCTTGACAAATCACTAACAATTTTTTGACCGCAGGATATTTTTCAATGGCACTTGTCAAATTCGAATCATTATACCAAGGCAATTCATAAGGACGAAATGTCAGACAGAGCCAAATCAGAGAGTCCTAAAGAGATTAAAATTGTAGACTTCAGTGTGGCTTACGTCATTCATTCCACACTAATTAATCCCTGGAGTAGGCTCTCCAGGAACACCACCTTTCAGACGGTACATTTATATTCCAACAAAACCCGCTTTGAATTTAATTTGTGTGTGTAATTCCTCAGTAAAGAAATAGAAAGGCATATCTGTTCTCTACAAATGGTCTGTACCTTAAATGTGTATTGTATTGAGTCCAAGAATCTATTACAGATCTCCCACAGGGCTCTATGTCTGGTTTCTATGCTAATTTAACTGGACCATGGCCAGAACATCTACTACTTTCGTTACGACTGGTTTTAACCGGATTACAGCAAATAGGAAAAATATTGAGTTCTACAAAACTGAAGGATTTTGAAAATACATTTGCCAATGAGAGAATTTTTTTTATCGAAGACAGGTGCCATGGCATACTAATGTTCTCATGATAGGGGAATATACAGGATGACACAATATACCGGGCATCGTTTTCTTATTATATTTAATGATTGCTTGTAGTTTGTAAATGCACTATGTTAGGGAAACTATTCTCTCTAAAAGTATTGTTTTCTTTATGAAGCTGGACGGGGCTGAATAAAACCACTATCTTCAATATAACATCCGTGAGATAAATTTGAGTTATGTGTTCGTAGTATCGAATTTCGCTGGATTTTGATATGGTCATATTTTCCAATTTTCTTGGATGAGAAGACAGGGGAATGATATTAGGGTAGCACCGTGGACAACCTCGACACCTCTTCACTGCCTGGCTGCGAGGTACCGTCAGAACGAGCGTCTCGCCTGACCCCTGAGCTCGGCTTCCGACATAATAGACAGCCGCCATTTATTCCCAAATCCCCAGAGACGCATACCCCATGTGTGAAAGCTCGATAATAATGATACAACTCTCCAATCAGTCGGTATAACGTCATATCTATTTCTGATAGATGGGAAGCGTTACTGTTAGATCCGCAGGTTTGGGGATTTTATTATGTGCGACGTTGACTGTGCCCAGGGACGTCCTGGCAGTCGGTGTTTACGAGGGGATGTGTATACGGCGTTGAGCCTCAACATCGTTGTCGTTATTATTCAATACGACGATGTATGAGGACATGGAATCTCACATGGGATGTGTCAATTGAATCATCTTGACATGCGTGTGTGATTGACATCATAGGGTGCCTTGATTCCTGATGTGTTATACAGCCTCGTTTAGCCAGACTGGTCTGTCTAGGTTAACCAAATTGTGGCCAAGAACCCGGATGATTTAGTCCCGCGCTGAATGTTCTTCCGGATTCGAGACGCCCGTGAAAGTTCTGATGAACACTTTTCTGATAATATTTCAAAATGAGAGTAACATTTTAGAAAATGTCCAAAAACATAGGATGCCATTATTTCTTTAAGGTACATCAACGACATGCTGGGACGTTTTACAACGTCAGCGCGTTTGATACTTTGCATGAAATATCGACGTTCCAATTATAGTGTTCATTCTCAAACGGTTTAATTGTAAAGTCGTAAAGATCATATTTGGTCTTGTAATAAGAAGAGGATTTAGCAGAAAGTTAAAGCCAAGGTATCGCTGTCATAAATTTCCGTCCCAAATTACGAAAGTATTTAATGTTAAAGGATCATTACTCGTTCGCTTCATTTCGCCATCAAACCTTAAGGTATCACCAGCTCAAAGAACTCCTTGAATGAATCAGATTCTCCATAGTCGTTTATTTTGCCCATGTCGTATTTTATATCTTCTTTATCCCAGCGAATTCGGGCCTTTGGCCTATGAAGGTATTCACGACGTGAAACTAACCCAACGAAATACTCCACGTACAGTCACTGGGATCCTTTGTTTGAGATTGTCCGTTATTCATTGACCCAGGGTCTGTGAAGTTGAAACAAAATAGCTCATCCTAATGTCCACGACTTTACTGTTACGAGCCAGGGGCTCTGATTTGTCGAATTTACGACTATTTGATGATGAAATTTCTCGCCTGTGATTCTTATCCGACTCAAAAGCATTGGCACTTAAACCGTTCTCTTTGAGCTCGGGTGAAACCAGGAAGTAGCTTCAATGAGCTGTGTTTGCAACAATATGGAAAGCCCACTTACCGCACCACAATATAACGCTATCTGTTTGTCAAGGAATCATTTTGACTCGCAGTCTGTTTGTATAAGGGGGTTATTGCTCCATTCTACATTGTTCCTGAAATGGATTGTCAACGTTTCGGTGCCTTAAATACCGCCAAGTTTACATCCCTTCCAACATGAATCATTAATACCGTATTGTGAGAGCCAGATCTCATTTGAATACCAGAAATAATAAATTTGCCGGCAATGGCGACCAACTGTCAGGGCCGATCTCGCCGTAATTGCTCTTCATTTTTGGAAAGAGGAGCTCGCACCTGATACCGAAATGATTTTTGTTGATTAAAATGAAAATCTCGCCGGTAGTAATGGGACAGTTAATTCTCACTTCATCAGCGGGGCAACACATTAGCCGGACGACTTGGTCGTACAGTTTCTCATCAAGTCGTCGACGGAGAGAGAAGACTGGGCTAGCTATTGCCAACAAACTCATCACTCCTGAAATCATCAAAGCTGTCACAACGCCTAGATTCATTTTGGTCCGGGCCAGTATGCCAGCTTTTTAGCTTCGTGATAAAAGACTCCCTTCAAATCTGTCTGATTATGCTATCCATTCACGGCCAGGGTGATGGGAGCGCTGGGCGAGATAGGTCGCCGCTAGGGCTCTGTAGGGTGACACTTGTAAATAACATGTTGTGTACATGACTCACAACAACACAACCAAGCCACAACGGTAATACTACCATTAGTGTTGTTATAATGACAATTATTGAGGATTAGTATCATCATAGCCATTAGTTTTATGATCCTGTGTCAATGATTATGATGAGGTTGTTTGACTCCGTCAACACAAACATCCCCAGCAAAAACGTTATCACAATCAACAGTGTTGGTGTAATTAGTCAGCATGCAATATAGTTGTCACGCTGTACAGTAAAGTGATCTATCGCAAGGTAATTACCTTTTCAAGGAAAATATATGAACAAAAGGTTGGACATCATGAGAATGTGGGGGATATGTTTAAGAATCTGGGCACTCAACCTTCTCAAAAAACAATATCCGCCCAAAATATTCATGGTCCCTACTTTTTCATCAGTGAATATTGATACACGTATCATACCATCACGTGTACGTCCCATGAAGCGGTTTTAACACTTTTTGTGACAGACTATTTTAAAAAGAAACTCATTAGGGGAATTTCAAAGAACTGTTTTCGGAAACATTATTTTCAAAACATTTTGTCCAAATATATAGAATAGATTAATACTACATGATTAAGGAAAATCAGTATAGAAGCCCCTCTCTGTGTTGTCCCCTTTCGTGTGAGATACGGCTTCTGTCAACACTGGGGGGAGATATGAATGTGTAGAATACTACGTAAACAAAACTAGACAGTTTCCTATAAATCCAGCGGCGATGATTGTCATTTCCAACGCGATCAGGGAATACAGGTTTTCCCCGTAATTGTTTTCTTTGAATTATCAAGCATTTGTTAATGACGAGAGTTAAAGTAACGAAAGATGCCGTATATCTTAACCGATACAATCTCTCCGGCAACCAACATGAAGAAACGGGCCATGCGTCTTCCCTTATATCGCGCTAAACACATCTGAAAGTCTGTCAGGGCATCAGGATGGGACAAGAAAACAAATGTTTTCCTCTCCCTCGACACTGCAGCCAGTAACAGAGCTATTAATCTGCATCAGCAAGGTACGGGATGAGGTTGGCGTCTTAATTGCATCCCCCGACTCATGTTGTTACGGCAGCAGGAACACATCCCGTTGAGAAAGCGTAGAGGCTCTAACAGTTATTAAGTCAAATCCTAGAAGAGACCAGGGTCACTTAGAGGGAGTTAATTGGTAATAATTGAAGCATCTAGAGAAACGAGGGTCTTGATACACTTTAGTACGGGTTTATCAGACAGTCAGGGTAACCTGTAATTACTGATCTAGTTTTGGGTACAATTTGCCACAGTCTTTCATATTTAGAGCATATTAACACCCTGAAAGAAAATATAATATTCTATATCATACAATTTTGATGATTCTTGTCCAATGTGTTTTATGCTGAAATGAGAGATTCCTTGTTTCAGTATATGTCCGTATATCTTAAAGGAGAATTGTTGATGTGAAAGCATCTATTACTGATGTTAGTATTTTTAAATTAATCATGAAAGGAAATATTTCTTAACAACTATACAATACCATTTCGACAATTCTATTTTTTTCTTTCGAAAACTCTCTTTCTTTTCTTCTAATGAATTATGGTAATGAAATGGGATCGCTCTTTCTTCTATAGTTAACGTGTCAATACAGTTGGTATCGTGTATTCATTGGAAGCAAATGATGTATAATTTACAACTATAATGAAAACAAAAAGTAGGATTGGGGCTATAACTCACAAAAAGGTTGACACTCGAATTATCAATAATTAATTCAAGTCATACTAGAAGTTACCTCGGATCGTTCATTGTTAATGATTGAAAACATGAAAGGCGAGGTATGCATGTTCAAATTTCTAAAATATATGTTCATTTTAAGTATTCGAACAACTGTCAATTATGCATGACTGGAATACCGATTATTGAACTATATCCATAGATTACATTCGTCCCTACGTTTGTATTATTTACTGTTCAGAAAACCAAATTTTTTCTCTGGTTATATATAATTCTTGATTTTCATAAGTTCATCCTTTCGAGGGTTAAACTGATATTGATCTCGTCTTTTTGGATTTACATCAATAAGACAATTACGTCAATTTCAGACCATACAGCTTGGAGTAACTATTATTGAACATATTATTGAGTAACATATCCGCAGACCTTGTTTATTAAAGATTTCTTTTTAAATATGTTTAGAATATAAATCATGAAACGATCTTCGACAAAGATTTATATTACCCGTAATAATTTTATTACGCACAGTGTGAACGCCATGACATCTTCCATAATAGAAATAAAAGACAACCAGATTGACGTAATACTTATTCGACATATTTTTTCACGTGTTTAGTTGCTGACGTCACATGCGATACGGGTACAGACGCCCCCTCGTCACATCCCGGGGGGTGGTGGAGGTCACTCTGTCCTACAAGTCCAAACAATTCTGCAAAGGAGCACCGGGCAGATTTGTGTATACAGGTAAGCATAACTTATCTGTTTTCTTAACATATTGTCTTCCACAGCAGAGAATATCGGAATATTTTTCAACAGATGTAATGAGTAGTTTTTCGTTAATATTACATTACTGCACACTGGCGTCATCGTTCATTAGAAAAAAAAATATTGTCCATCATTGCAATGGTGTATTGAATACATTTATACCATATCCTTTCACAACCAGTTAGAATTAGCCATCAGTTATGTTTTCATTGGTGGAAATGTTTATGTATCAATACAAACATACAGTCACCCTAAGCCGTGGTAAGTGGCATAGGGAATATTATTAATATCAATAACACACATATTTGGCAGAAAATAATATATTTCAACAAACCTGTTTCTTTTGGTTTGGTAGAAATACATAGTCGATCATTACATGAAGAAATGTCACAAACACATTTATTGTTCACTGAAATGATACATGAAATACACATAATATATATTACATTTACACACCAAGTCAGTATATCATAACCATATATATATTATATATCTTCAATAGCTTAATGCGAAATATGTTTCAATATCTACATTTATTCGTTCATTAAGACATTACAATGACATAAAGCCACACATATATTAATTAAAACAATTAAATTATGTTTAATATTTTTGCAACTGTCTAAAGAACAATAACACACATGCGTAACTGTCTCGAGTGAATACTTTTAACCTTTTTAAAAACTTCTCCAGGAAAAATGATCTTAGGCGCATACGTTAAGAACGGTTCACCAGTATATACACCACTTGGTTAAACCATCCATCTCGATCAATGCACCGAGCAAACAAATAAGCGTGTGATATTCCCATATTTCTCCAAACTGCAAATTAATATTCACGTAGAGTCCATCCCATGTAGCTACAATGCTGAATTCTACACATTATTTATGCATGGACTAGCACGTGTATGAAAAGTCGTATAAATGCCAACATGAACACTCGCGTCAGTCGGTGCAATGGCTTAGAGGCAGACATATTTTCTTGCTCTCTCTTTTTATCAGGTTTTCCATTATCGATCGGTATAGCCTTCAATGATCAAAGCATAATGTCTTCACACTCGTTCTTGGAGGATATTTCTTGTGAAAGAAGGCGAGATTGTTCCGATAGCCTTGCTTGAGATCTGCAGATACACATTTAACGTATTAATTATACAGCGACAATGGTTGAAATAATTAAAACTGTCCATTTGGAGCAGTCAGCAAATGCTTCACTTCAACCGTACTTGTAAAGGCTTGACAATGTTTTGGGTAATAAACAACGGACAGTTTTGTAAAATTCAAAGGACATATAATCTCAATTGAATTTATTGCATATTGACAATGTGGGGTATACAACTAGGAATATATCTTTTTTCGCAAGTTGAATTGATCTGAACCTTTATCTTTGACAAAACAACAAATCAATTATTATTATTATATTTTTATTCATAAATAGACAAAGAAATTAAAGATAGGTATATTTTCAAGGTAGAAGCGGTATCAACGCTATATGATATACAAGAATATAATTATAGGTATATTATCAAGCACAAAAGCGGTATCAACTTTTGACCGTAATGTTTTGAGGACTGGTTGAAAGCACCGGTAACTTGAATGGTCATTTTAAGAAGAGAGATATGTCCCTGGTATGTCTGCTTGTCGCCTCGGATGCTTCCCAGTTTGTTTTGTGGACGGGATTTGATTTCCGGTTTACCAGTTCCTACTTCCGGCGAGTGTTGCGCGTATGTCCCGCCATTGTTCCCAACAAGAGCCACGTGTTGAGACACGGAAAAATATTCTTACCAGCACACCTGTCAAAATGTTTGCATTTTTGTTAAAATCGGTTGCAAAAAATACTCTTACTTTGTGGGAAATTTTACAAGATCAACATTGAAGCTTGTTTTTGATTTATGCGATATCGTCACGAACTGTTGAAATAAGACCAAAATGTAAACAAGACGGAGACTGGTGCTCAGTCGGGATAAAGTGGCGCGTTCTCCAGACAGCTCGTTAACATTGTAGTGTTTAAATGGAATGCACAAGTATGTCTTCATATTTTCACATCAGACTTTTCTCCTGGGAAGGTGCAATCTGATAGCATTCAGTTACTTTAATTCTCTATCAGTAATCCCAGCTCACGGACCATCTCTCTCCCTTTACCAACATCAATTGTTTCTAACAGTAGCCCCCTTGGGATAAATTACTTAGCTTCCTCCGCCAATGCACAATGACATGTGCATAAATGAACCACGACTATACCGAAGGAGCCAGCGAAACGTCCATAATTAATGAATTTCACGTCAGACAATATAAGGCGACAAATTGTTCTAGTCTAACAGTCATAGACGGGGTGTATGTATTGAAACAGATCCTGAGATGTTGGGCATCAAAGACCCTATCTTCTCTTAAAATTATTAATAAATGAAAGCTTCGATAGACGATCTCATAGTGAGCATCCTGTAAGCCTATTTACTGTTTCAGAGAGTGAAGAATTGGTAGTTTTCGTACGTGTCTTAAGTGTGTACCTGCTGACATGCTACTATTTAAAGTAAACTGTTTTGGTAAGATAGTTTTTAATTCCACTATTTAAGGTATTTTAGGTATTTAACAATTTTAGGTCTTTCTAATTCCTAGTCATCATGAGTGAGAACCTATGTTTTATTGATGGTTTTCCTGATGTTATTCTTGTGACACAGGAAAAGACAACACTGACTGTATGTTTCTCCGTTCAATTTTTTTCCTGCTGTCGAAACGCCAATGCAAATAAACAGTCGCTGTCAAAAACGCAACCGCTTCTAGAGTATTGACAAGCCAATAAAACGGCCGTGCGTCAATTAGAGGTTTTGCGTTCTCTACAATTTGTCTCGATCATATACATGTCCAAATAAAGAGAAACGAACTCCGTAAACAAATATGCTAATATTAGGTGCAGGTTTCACTCTCAGGGAAATTCTCATTCATAATGATGACGTTGAACTAATCTTCCTCACGCCGACAGCGATGATGAAAGGCGTCCAGATCTCCCCCAAACCCTGGTGGCTTGTCGAATCGATAACAGTGTATTAGCTTGGCCATACTCGTATATGAACAGTTATTAACCTCTCATAGATCCCCGACCACTTTTTCATCCAAGTCGCATGTCAAAGAGACAAGAGAAGAAAACAGCCAATCAGGAAGCGTCTCTTTAAACGAGTGATCCCGAAAATTACCGATCACTTAAACGGCAATAGTCGGGAGCTGTCGTGATAGTGTGGAAATTTAGGAGAAGGACACACTCGCTGTTTCCGATCCTTCCTCTGTAGGAACCTCCCCATTTCCTGACTGGGGCTTTGGTTTAACACCGGCAGAAGGGGGATATCGATCTTAAATACAGTCACCTCTTATTACATTGATAACTAAAAGCTGTCATTTTGTTTTCGTCATCCGCGAATATGGACTCAAATTTGGCTAGTGATCTCTGAGAGAACGCAGTCAAGCGAAACGCGAGCGCCCTTAAAACTATTAGCCAAAATTGGACGTCATGAACTCTTAGCTTCTTAATAAAACGGTTTTAACAGTAAATTCATATCAGGTAGGAACCAAACCGCAGACATTCACAGACTACATAATTTTATACTCCCATAAACTATGCACCATTGTAAACCGCTATGCTGCATCGAACCGTACAGCGGGCTCCCGTGGATTAATTGTCAATTGACGGTATTGCGTGGATCCATCGTGAATGAACTTGACATATGCCAGCTTCGTCGCGCCATATTGCGTGTGTGCATTATTCATTTAAAGTGGTATCTCCTCATGAAATATTTACCTCATGATATTGTTGCAAGCCAGAACTCTGGCTATTGTCGTTGCCAACACTTCTACCAAAGACACGCTTCATGGACCTCGTCAGTGAACACAAGCGGTTAGACAGTCAGTATTCCGAAGGGAAATGTCAAATCAAAATGGCTTCCGTACCAGTTCTGCAGCCGCGATGGCGGAACTATCCAGATTGAACGTGACACGCATGACTGGAACAACATATGTCTAACACAGGATCTTTTGGCCAACAATATTACATATGGTACATGTAACATAGATAATATCACGAACGGCGGGGATTAAAGTAGAAATTACGTACTGAGTGTCAACACAAGTACAATTCCATAACTAACACCGTTCTCCTTTTCATGGTCATTGTGCGAACATCTCACGCTCATCATTAATTAATATAACAATGCATAGCACGTCACGGTGCCGTGTTATCAGAAGGCTGATTTCAGGTTACATCGCTGCTTGTTTTGTTTTCTGGGAAATGACTCTTTAAGATTTTTTTATTGAATTTTATTTTTTTTCCCACAGCGTTAACAGAACCAACGATAGACTACGGGTTTCAACGCCTCATGAAATTGGTACCACGCCATCCTGGGGATCCAGAGCGACTTCCCAAAGTAAGACAAGTTTTCAGGATGATATCATTCTTAGTCACTGGTCTCCGTCAACTCGCTCCCGCTAACAATGATATGCACCGCTACCTTTCGAGTGCCTTTGAACATAATTCAGAAAGTTACACCCAATCAATAATTGTCATAGCTTTGGATGAGAACATCTGTTAGCAGGTAGCCACTAACCCGTTCTCTTTTATTGCTCTAATTATCGGCGGTGGAGTTTATAGTGTTGCATTCACCAGTTCCTCCACTGTCGTGATAATGGATTAGCTATTTTCGATGTGCAGATTTTGGTTGTTGGCTTTTATTACGTTTAAAATCTTGTTTGGTGATATTTGATCGAACAGATAAATATTGTATTTTTTTTAATTTGGTACTCTGTGAACTTTATCAAATCTATTTCGGTCCTTTCTGTTGGAACTTAGGGGTGAATATGTGAGACATTGAGAGGAACTGCTAGATGTATGCATGTAAGGCGGACTCGGGCTTTCTGAGAAAATAAGTTCTTAACATGAATTACAGTAAAATCAATTTCATATAAGAGAAACACTTTCAGGTTAAACTGACGCAAGAAAAAACCCAAACCATGTTTCTCTTTTTATCATGGAAATAGTGTTGAGATGTTTGAAAACGTCTTTTCGACATAATGATAAAACTGATAATTCCATGTTTTACTATCATATTACATTGTTCAAATAGTTGAAGTTTCTACAGTTTGAGAAAAGACCAATCCTAAATCGGTGTTCTTGTGTACTCTGAAATTTTATTTCTTTGTCAAATTACAATATATCAAAGAAAAGCCTATCAACATAATCATCGTCCCTTTTCTATGATTCAGTGACGTGTCAATGTTTGTTATTTGGTGATCGTTGTTATATATGTATTTTTTCTCTCTCCAGGAAATAATCTTAAAACGTGCCGCGGATCTAGCCGAGGCACTCTACAGTATGCCCCGTAACCCCAACCAGCTATCACTCCCAGCCCCCAGGTCCCCCGCCATGAACAACACATCCCCAATGTCCGGATTCAACACCTACCCTGGTCAGCTAGCGGTCAGCGTGGCCGATACAGTCACCGGTCAGTGGGAAGAAGGTTGGTGACGCTCCAACCTTCTTAGTTACATCGCCTCTGAGTTGCCTCCCTTTGCTCTAACCAGAGTGGCCTCCCTTGGCTTCCTGAAATACTTGACTGTCTTTCTGAGTTGATAGACGTAGCGATGGATGTGTTGGAGCATTTTGAGAATATTTCATTACAATGCGTGCATGTGCCTTCTTACAAATCATAAAAATATGTAAAAATGCAATCTGTAAATGACAGCTGTTTAGATGCATGGACAGTAATGGCTAGAATCTCCTGGGATAATGACTCAGTAAAGGTTCATGCATGTTATGTACACATTTTATTGATAATAATGAACAACAGTATTTGCAAAGTGGATGTAGTCGACCTTTGTAGCTTCTGTGCTTCTTTGTAAAGCATGTACTATTGTCATTTACACTTGTTTCTGTTATATATGGGGTACGAGTGGCCCGAACATCTAAAAGTGCCACAGTTTCTGTGCAGAGATGCCAGAAACCTGTGATCGTGGTTCGAATCCCGATTCGCTCCGATTGTGTTTCTAAGTTTGGTAGCACCATACCCATGCTCTTTGGTATCACCAAAGTGGTAAAACGTCTGAGACAGATAAAGCTGACAAGCCGTGATGGAACTGGAATACTGTTCAAAACGACGTTAAACCCAACTCACCCAGTGGCATATCCATTGCATGTTCAGAAATGAACTAAAGGCAACATAAAATTTCCGTTTTCATAATGCCACCTTTACTTATTTCAAGTTTGCTTAAATCTGATTAGAAGCTGATTGATGCTCTTTGGTCCTCTTCATTTTCAAAGAACTGTTTCTTCCAGGCTACAACAGAAGCCAGAGTTCCAGCGTATCGCCCCGTGGTTACGGGTCCAACGGATCCACGCCACACAGTACAAACAGTGGAAGCTACGCAGGCACGCCGGGAATGAACGGGTATCACGGAAGTGCTGGTGCGCTAGGCAATATGGGTAAGTTGTGACGTCACATACGCTTCCTCGTCATTGTCATTTCGTTGCTGCTGGCTTACTTCATATCCTTCAACCATTGTGGCACTGGTGTTTATTTATGATATTTTGCACTTTATTGCATGATCTGAAATACTTGATATCATGTTATTCATACGCAATACATCAATATACTAACATTCACGTTCTGACGTTTTTTTTCTGTAAAAATGAAAGGTAGTGTTTTTTTCCTGATCGTTTAGACTATAAGTTAATTTCAAATGAAAATTGTCAAACGACCAAATGACCTATCATAACAATTTTCAAGAATCGAAATACCGTTAATTGTTGTCATTGATGTTTCTGCCGACATTGATATACCATTACGTTAAAGCGCGTAGGGTAAATGCTGCTATATAACGGCACAATTTTTAGAGTAATTCCCATTTCTACCTGAAGAATTCAAAATCCACAACGATGAGACGGGACAATAATACTGCGACCATGCCACTGTTTACCTCTGCGCTTGTGGGAGTTGAGAACAGTTATAATCAATGATCTCAACGCTACTTCGGAATAAACGTTAGACAGCCGTCAATCTCGGTTAAATTTGCCGTCATATTATGCATTGTGTTGGCTATAGGAATGAAGCCGGGGGTTTACTCTACTCTATATTCGCTACAGTGGAACAATACATCATTTGGAACCGATGGTATTTGTGGACACACAATATTTTGTAACAATAAGTGCAAAATTACCTTTAGTAGAAAATCAACACTACCGTAGTCGGCTCCGCTAATTGTTTTAGCCAAACAAATGCCGCATAATTCATAGGGAAGAAGCTTGATTTTGGTGAAGGGATTGGAGCTGGGATCCATTGTGTTGGGCCGGAGCGCCAGTTTCTCCGAGATCTCGCGGGACCCGCTTCTAATAGGTTGATCAACAACTTGTTAGCCTGGCTAAGGCGTCATGGGACCTCGTGATGAACAAATCATGCACACACCGTTTCAGACATTCCAATCTATAGTTCACTGATAATTCACAAGCAAATAGACGTGGAATATGTGCAAGCTCCTCTCTGCGACCTCACTGAACATTTCGCGCACGTGGTTTGAACTCAATCGCATTTGGCGGGAAATCGATGGGCCGCCATCTTAAGCCCAACTTGAGTTCGTGTCGCTTGAAAGTACGTTAATCCTAACTCGTCTGCCCATAATCATATGTGACTCTCGGTAGCAAGCATAACGCGCACATGGCGCGAGGATAATGCGAAGATCAATTTACAATTGTAGCTCAATTTCCGCCCGAAACGGCCGGTTATTGGAGAATTAAACAGTGACTTTTACTACGCTGTGTTTATTTCCGAAAAGGAAACACAACGTTGGCCGATAGCTGTAATATTTAGACTCTGCTTAACTGTAACAAAAGCTACGCCATTATGTCGCGGCAAACCCGTTACCAAGGGTACACAGCGGATGGAAGTGTTTGTTGCCGGATACAGAGCCGTTAATACGCGTTAAGGCAGTAAAACAATTCTTTATCCTTTATTGATGCCCTGCTGCGATAGCTGTACTAGTGCCTAATGACTCGAATCATCCATGCGTGAAACAAATCAATTCATCCATCCTAGATATCATACCCAATCTAAATTAACAAACAGAATTCAGACAAGATCTGTTATTTTTTTTTGTTTCTCTTCAGGTTTAGATCATTTTCTCAGAGATGAAGCAGGAAGATTGGGAGCTGGTAAGACTTTTTTATAATTTTTATTCGTGTATTTTTTGCATTTCTTCAGTCCGTTTTTATTTTGCTTTCTAATTTCATTTCTATCTGTCTCTCTTGTATTTCGGAAATGGTCTTTTCGTTTTTTAAATTTAAAGGTCAGTAGGTATTGACAGATATGTGTGACGACAATTGGGAAGGGGGTGGAGCAAGACGTCCATTCCTGGCCGTTTTCGGTTTGTTTATTTTTCTTTTTTGTTTTATGTTCTGCAGTTGCTACGTCTCACTCGCCTCCCCATCAGTTCTCCGCCCCCTCGGGCCTGTCAGGGACTTGTGCCCCCGGGATTTTCTCTTTCTCACCTGCCAATATGATCACGGCGGTCAAACAGAAAAGTGCCTTTGCACCTGTCGTTCGTGCGCCGAGCCCGCCCCCTCCCCTTCCCGGCATTCAGTGCGGCTGGGTTTCACATCCGCTTTTACACGTTAGTAGACATTGCTTAATATAAAGGTCCTTATTGGTAATGCATTATTTCTGATGGCGTCCTACCTTGGTTTGACGACATATGAATGTAGTTTCATAGTATTAAATTCAGTAGATTGTATATGTTGTCTGCTTTTATTGCGCTTGCTTTGTCGTTGTTTCTTGTAAACTTTGATTTATACTTTTTTTTCTATAAATGTTTTTACTTCTTCAAATGTATTAATAAATGTAAATACAATGTATACAATATTGTATCTGAGCGGATGAATAGTATTTTGAAAAGGAAAGTAAAGAGTTGTTTATTTCATTACAGGAATGAGCAGCATAGTAGCGTCGCCGTTTACGAGCGTCAACCCATTCGCTCTGCCCACGTGCAACTCACAATCATACAGCAGCTCCATCGTGTCTCCTGCAAAATGATTGGTTGGAATTCACAGTGTAGGTCCGGACTGAATACCTCAACATTACATGATTGGACGGAGTGTTAAACCGGAAGCGCAGTGTGCGTTGATTGAATTGGATGGTTTATGCACATTGTGGGCAAAGACGATATCAGTGCTAACATAACACGAACAATTCGAGGAAAAATGACCATACGAAACAAGACACAGCGCTTCCTGCCCGGAGAATAAATTCTACTACACTCTAGGAAGTACGATACGTCGGGAACGATATCGGCTTCCATTCCTCCTCACAAACATGCCCATTAGGAAGGTGTCTGGGACGGGACATGAAAACTGCGCACGTGATCATAGAAGTGATCCTTGTTTAGTCTGAACGTGATCGTTCAGGATGTTTGCTCTAGCCTGAGTGTGTTTCTCTGTTTCACAGACTTCTTGTTTACTCGTGTCTTGCCAAGGGAGATAACTTGTCTCATGGGAGATAACTTTGTCTCAAGGGAGATAACTTTGTCTCATGGGAGATAACCCTGCCTCGTGGGAAATATACCTGAGGGTAACCCTTTCTCATTGTAAATACTCATTTCCTAGTCCCAAAGCTCAGTGGACATTTTGCTCACCAAATGACATAAAACCCAAGAGATTATTTTTGTTGGTCTTTACGTTACCCTTCAGTCACGTGTCTTTGTTTCTGATTGTAATTGTTTTGCGACGTGTTCTGGCGTGATGTAGATTTATTTATTCGTAGCGAGTAAAACAAAACGGGACATTTGAGCACATATATATAATTGTACATATTACGATAAGTTCAGTATTCGAAAACAGTAATTTCACAAAATAGATTTGACGCTACGAAACCCCCGAATAATTTATGGACAAAAATATGCATAATAAGGCAGCATTAATGCTCTCAAAGAGAGATCCACCAACGCTTACCCTACTCTCACGTTTCATATTGTTAACATAATACTTTATATATAATTCTTGCAAAAATAAATACTAACGAATAATTTATGGGTATCAATGTACCCTGCCCCGAAGTCCCATCTCAGGTGAAACCGAAGTGCTGGAGGCATGGATTCTGTATATTGAGTGTCAAGTCTTACGTGGTTATGTTACATCGTATCTTATTGCATTTTGATCTCATAATAGAGTATCGCCTGTTCTTATGTACTTAATTGCATACTGTATACAATACTCAAAAAGTATTACAAGGGCTGTGGAAAGACACCTTATCGACGTAGGTTTTATTTTTGTACATTTTTAAAACATACCTCCTCACTTTAAGTTTATTCTCTGCGAATGAATTTCTCCTTTTCTCGGAATATCCACCGATATCTAGTCATTTTCTAGTCAATCTAGTTGATTTTGCCGGCAATATTTCTTTGACATTGGCGTCTGATTCGCCCGATAGTTTCGCATGGTTCTAGTCGCGACATGTCTGATCTAGTCCCGCCATGTCTATTCTAGTCCCGCCGTGTCTATTCTAGTCATTGCTGTTCAAATGATCTCTGCAACATCACAGTTTGACCATAGTATGGGTTCCGATCTTTCCTTGCACAACGCACGTGGGATACTGTACTTATGTATTACAAAGCATACTCTATAATCTCGCGTGCGTTCTTTCATTTAACCAAATCATTCTGTCAAAGTACTATTTATTACTGAAAATATTGTTTTTATATTGAAAGTTTGATTATGATTAAAATGTTTTTCTTCCATATCTGTTTGATGTTATTCCTGGTGTTCTAGAAGTCTGCTTTACAAGTAAAGGTCACCTCCGTTGTTATATCATTTTACGTTTTATGTCAATTTGGCCAGATGTAGAAGCAAAATAGGTGCTTTAAAAATACAGAAGAAAGCACTTGAAAGTTGGATGAATAAATAAAAGAGATTTGAAATATACATAGTGTCAATCGAAAACTAAAGTATCCTTATTTTAGATTTGTACGACCTGAAAGACAGCCTCCTTCGTACAATGGGGTAGTCTGTTTGCTTCGTGGTTAAAGTGTTTGCTCGATTCTTCACTGCCTTTATATTCCTGGAATATAGCTAAAAGCGGCATAAAAGTACACTCACTCACTTTGTAGAAAATTAAACACATAATCGAGCCTAAGAAGAATGTTTTGCAGTAGTTACTGCACAAGGTTTCTATCTTGCACACAGAAAACATTACTTGGTGAACTTCAAACACACTGACAAGATATCAAACCACAGTTATAATAAATACTGTACAAAACAATTAGGGACAATGAATATTTTGGAATATTTTTGTTGTGAAGACATCATTTCATATCTATATCTCAACAAATGTTTATAATCCCTAACTGTATTCAACGTATGTCTGTTTAGATATGCATACAACAGTAAAGTAGCATACAATTACATACAGTTATACTAATGGCCATCGGTTGTCTACAGCGTTCACCATGTAACTGCTCGAGTCTATACTACACACGTAGCGTGAATACAACAACCAGTAGAACTGCAATGATTGCCTGTATACAATGATACCACCACCGGTTGTACACCATATGAGAATTCTGGCTAATCCTTTAACGGCTTGTACGAACACAACCCACTGGACAGTACAACACCAAACATGACCCGCGTTTACAATGGTCAGGGGTTTACAATGATACCACCACCGGTTGTACAGTATATGAGAATTCTGGCTGATCCTTTAACGGCTTGAACGAACACAACCCACTGGGCAGTACAACGCCAAAAATAACCCGCGTTTACAATGGTCAGGGGTATACAATAATATCATCACTGGTTGTACAGTATAAAGAAATTCTGCCTATTCCTATAACGGCTGGTGCATATACAACCCACTGGACAGTACAACGTGAAACATGACCCGCGTTTACTATGGCCAGGGGTATACAATAATACCACCAATGGTTGTACAGTATATGGGAATTCTGCCTACTCTTATAACGGCTTGTACGAACACAACCCACTGGACAGTACAACGTGAAACATGACCCGCGTTTACAATGGCCAGGGGTATACAATAATATCACTTCTGGTTGTACAGTATAAAGAAATTCTGCCTACTCCTATAACGGCTTGTGCATATACAACCTACTGGACAGTACAACGTGAAACATGACCCGCGTTTACAATGGCCAGGGGTATACAATAATATCACTTCTGGTTGTACAGTATAAAGAAATTCTGCCTACTCCTATAACGGCTTGTGCATATACAACCTACTGGACAGTACAACGTGAAACATGACCCGCGTTTACAATGGCCAGGGGTATACAATAATATCACCACTGGTTGTACAGTATAAAGAAATTCTGCCTACTCCTATAACGGCTTGTGCATATACAACCCACTGGACAGTACAACGTGAAACATGACCCGCGTTTACAATGGTCATTTGTATACAATAATATCACCACTGGGTGTACAGTATAAAGGAATTCTGCCTACTCCTATAACGGCTTGCACGAACACAACCCACTCGACAGTATAACGTCTAACATGACCCGCGTTTACAATGCTCAGGTGTATACAATAATACCACAACAGGTTGTTCAGTATATGGGAATTCTGCCTACTCCTATAAAGGCTCGTGCATATACAACCCACTCGACAGTACAACGTCTAAAATGACCTGCGTTTACAATGATCTGGTGTATATAATGCATACAATAGTAAAGTAGCATACAATTACATACAGTAATGCTAATCGCCATCGGTTGTCTACAGCGTTCCATGTAACTTCTCGAGTCTATACTACACACGTGGTGTGAATACAACAACCAGTAGAACTGCAATGATTGCCTGTATACAATAATACTACCTCCGGTTGTACAGTATATGAGACTTCTGGCAGATCCTTTAACGGCTTGTACGAACACAATGGTCAGGTGTATATAATAAAACTACCACCGGTTGTTTTTGGGATTCTGACAACTCGTGACAGGTGAATACGCCACAGAATGTTTTTGTTTCAACACGTAATGATGTCTGCAAATGCGTTGTATTGGCGCATAAAATATGTAGCCATGGCAGACAGATTTACAGCAGTGACATGTATTCACAAAAATAATTGAAACTGCTGTTGCGATTAATTCGCTAAGACAAGCAATAAAGACCCCAACCCCTTTCCACATTCACAAGAAATCACACGCGAGTCGATTTACGGTTCCGCTTATACCATGCACGTGTTGATGAATCACTATCAAATAGGGATCTTACAGTAAGTCGCGAAAAGGTAAGCGCATCCTGACCCACTAATAAACACATAAACACATGCAAAGGCTAGACAATTTTAAAGTTCCATGTATCCTACAGGGGCGGTGGGGTAGCCTTGTGGTTAAAGCGTTCGCTCGTCACGCCGAAGACCCGGGTTCGATTCCCCACATGGGTACAATGTGTGAAGCCCATTTCCGGTGTCCCCCGCCGTAATATTGTTGGAATATTGCTAAAAGCGGCGTAAAACCATACTCAACCAGTCAGCCACTCCATGTATCCTACAGTGAGGTGATTCTTTTACCTTATAAATCTGTGGTCACACTATACCCAGTCATTTGATTACATTCGAATAACCCAACCAGAAGACGAATAAAGGCACGATAGTCTCAGTATAATGAAGGATAGAATCAATATTTCAAAATTTATTACAACCGAGTTTATCTTTGTGTTATTTGTGGCAATGATAGATCTTCATCACACACTGACACATAGCTCAAATATCAGCCTTCATCACACTGAAAAATCTAAAACCCACCTTCATCACACACTGACACATAGCTCACATATCAGCCTTCATCACACTGAAAAATCTAAAACCCACCTTCATCACGCCTTGAGCCACATTTGAAATACGTGATTCAATGAAATATAATATTTATAATACACGCATACTCACCTTCGTCAGACACTGAAGTACTTATCAATTACCCGTCTAAGTTAACTAATTTGTCTTCATACTGTCTTCTAACAAGGTACTGAATACCCGCCTTAATTAAACCAGAACATGCAAATATTCGTCTCCATGACACACTGAACAGAATAAATATCACATTGAAACAATGCCATGATCAAACAGCCTGTAATTAGACTGAAATATTAATTAGATCCACCATATCTCAATATATATCAAATACTCGATCTGTGCATACGCCATGAACACTGACATGAATACAACATGCTGACATGGTAATAAGTAAAATTAAAGGGCACAAGACGAATGAAGTCAAGACTGTTGTAACTGCAGGGACATCCCTATATTACATCATTCAAACTGTTGTAACTGCAGGGACATGCCTATATTACATCATTCAAACTGTTGTAACTGCAGGGACATGCCTATATTACATCATTCAAACTGTTGTAACTGCAGGGACATGCCATCATTCAAACTGTTTAACATGCCTATGTAACTGCAGGGACATGCCTATATTACATCATTCAAACTGTTGTAACTGCAGGGACATGCCTATATTACATCATTCAAACTGTTGTAACTGCAGGGACATGCCTATATTACATCATTCAAACTGTTGTAACTGCAGGGACATGCCTATATTATATTACATTCATTCAAACTACAAACTGTTGTAACTGCAGGGACATGCCTATATTACATCATTCAAACTGTTGTAACTGCAGGGACATGCCTATATTACATCATTCAAACTGTTGTAACTGCAGGGGCCTATATTACATCATTCAAACTGTTGTAACTGCAGGGACATGCCTATATTACATCATTCAAACTGTTGTAACTGCTGGGACATGCCTATATTACATCATTCAAACTGTTGTAACTGCAGGGACATGCCTATATTACATCATTCAAACTGTTGTAACTGCAGGGACATGCCTATATTACATCATTCAAACTGTTGTAACTGCAGGGACATGCCTATATTACATCATTCAAACTGTTGTAACTGCAGGGACATGCCTATATTACATCATTCAAACTGTTGTCTGCGATGAAAACTATGACAACCAAGACACTTTAGTTTGTGGTGCATGCACAACTTAAGGGGTTATGGGCAGCCTAGTACTTAAAGCGTTCGCTCGTCACGCCGAAGACCCGGGTTTGACTCCCCACACAGGTACAATGTGTGAAGATCATTTCTGGTTTCCCCCGTCGTGATATTGCTGGAATATTGCTAAAATTAACCTCACTCACTAACTCACTGTACAGCTTAATATATACTGCTGTATGGATGGTGAAGCAAACATGTTATCATGATGGATGATGATAAACAACGGCAGAAATGGCGCCATCTTACATCACTGTGAAGCGCAAAGACAGGCATTTGGCCTACACTGAAACGAATAAGTCTCTCTGATAAAGGCGTTCGTGTTTTTGTGATGGTACCACACTGAAGCGAATACGTATGTCTGATGAAGGCAATCGTCTTGTTGTCTTCTTGCCAAGAAACAGTTCCCTTTGGGATTAAACGCAAAATGGACTAATGGTTAAAGGGCTCGTCACGCTGAAGACCTGGGTTCGATTCCCCACATGGGCACAATGTGTGAAGCCCATTTCTGGTGTCCCCCGCCGTGATGTTGCTGGATTATTGCTAAAAGCGGCGTAAAACCATATTCACTCATTCACTCCAAGAAAAGGTGAGCGTATATAAAGGTTAGAGGTGTAGAATGCGTAACATAAGATGTTACAATGATAAAACGTTACATTATTGTGTATGCATTAAGAACTAAATTTAACATCTTGCTGTGC